AAAAATGTATGTGATATTCATGTGATAACAAGCAGTGTTAACCCGCCAAATAGGAAAAGAATTTTCAGTGATAGCGAGGTTCGTTTCACATTGTTGTCTGAAAAGGTTGAGTATTCGCTCTTTCGTTCACAGAAATGTCTTTATTATCTTGTTTACTTCACCTGGTCGGTGTTATATAGATTTTAAGGAAAGTGTATGACTTACCTGTGATGTTTACTATTTTCCAGAATGATAATTGACACCCTCCAATTTACACTGCTGGTCCGGGTCGATAAAGTCTTTTTATAAACGATTCAACAATGACTTTAACATTAATTTTCATCCTAGGTTATTTGTGTTCTTTCTAGGCTGTTAGTTATCAGAAACATCTTTAAAATATTAAAAAAAAATACCGACGATCTCTTTTCCCTCAGGTGGCATTCAATTCCACCATGCATATTTTATGTACTTTGTCTTTCGTTTGTCACCTGTTTTGCTAACAGCTCGCTTGTCCAATATCAAGGTAATTTAAAGTTGTGTATATATCATACACAATATGTATCCCGCGATTTTTATACTGTAGTATTAACTCTTTCGTACCACGTGTTCCGTCCGGGTTCCGTTAGCATACACGTACCGGTTGTAATTTTTCAGTTTCTCCTCCGGCAAGTGTAAGAATGGAGGCGCCTTTGCGCGTTTTTGTCGTTTTTGAGACGACTGTTTAATAGGTTAGTGTCAAAAGACATGACTTTGTTCAGCGGTAGAGTTTTAATATATGTCTTAATTGTTTTGCTGACGATATTCCTTGTCGCAGGGAAGTGGTATAATACGGAAAGTCATTTAATGTATCTCGAGCTGTATCAAGAATCATCTATATTTCAGGTTTACCTTTTTTCGACATTGGAATGTACAGTGAATTGATATCACATAGGGCACTAGTTGACCATAGCATGTTTAATGATATCATATACCTGATATGACAAGCCAGTATCACTTGATATAGGACAATGTTACGTTATTTATTGGAAATAAACTTGGAAAATAAAATCGTTCACCACTCTCGAATGCAAATGTGTGCACATATTTACCTTGTCTATATATATGTCGGCTGTTTGTCACAAGTCAGCGGATGGTATGATGCTGTGCAGTTGTAACTATTTCACGGACGTATGTTGTTGTAGAAAGCAATATGAAGTCGTATTCCCTTGTGTGTCCTTGGTAGTCGGTTTTACTCAGTTTTATAATTTACAGAAAAACAGACATTTCTGGAGATTGGTTCAACTGTATTTTGGAAGAGTAACTGTCCCTTGTTGTTTTCTTCAACCGATACCTATCAAGCCTTATATGCTTAATCACCATGACATAAAGATAATGTTTCTTGAATGGCCGTTCCCAGTATAATGTGGCCGGATGGAGTGTCCTGCTGGATATCTTATAAAACACTATGCCCACGGTTGAAACAAAATTCTGTAGCAGGACATCAAAACTTCACCGTGTATGGCCAATGCTATTTTTTTTCAAATAAAAGTCAAATGTAACGGTTCAGGTCACGTGATCTGTTTTCATAAGGAATTTTTAAAAAATCTCCAATCATTAATACAACCTAGTATTCTAAATTATTAATAGTAACATAAATATCCCCCCAAAACCCCTAAAGTCGTTAGGAAATTTAATCTAAACTGAAAAATCAAAGTTTTATGTCTCCTCACTGAAGACGCCATTTTGTCCAATCAGGAACAGAAATCTGTTTAGTGTTACATTTGACATGTATCCCAAGTTTGATTTCAGTAAAAACCTTTTTCTAATCTCCCAACATTTCTTGCATCTTTAGGGTGGCTTTTTACACCAATCAGAAAAAACGAACATCATATTGTGTTCCTGATGTCAGAAAACACCTACGCATAAGTCTTATTTATTACCATTGGGAAAACTATAACTTTCGACCAATAAGATGCCCTCATTGACGGAAAATGAACTCTCAATCTATCCCTGCTGTTGTAGATGATGCTTTTTGAAAGACGAAATAATTATACTCCATTGGTAAGCCTACTTTCGCTAGTACAAATCACCTGGTATTTATGTGTGTGATGGTACACCTTATTCAGTAATCATAAACGTAGGCAAGGAGGGTTGGAAACTCCTTAACGTACACTATTGAAAATATTTAAGTTTCAAAGTTTAAACATTTGTGACGGCCATTTTGATGTCCCATCGACAAACCGATTGCACCTAATAACATCTTACATGGGTTTGTTCCGTAGATAAGGATATCTCAACCTGAATGTGAGAGATTCGCTGGTTATCACGAGGCTTGCCAGCCACTCTTACTCGAAGGTCGAGATATCAATTTTAAAGAAATAGACATGTGTTTGATAATTTTTCTAACATACCTTAAAAAGTGACAAATTGTCAACAGGTTTGTTGCAATACGTTCTCATCCCGCTATCATCAATGTCCCATGAAATGAACATCGAAATGGATGACTCGAGCTAGCTGTCTTTTCCCACTATGCGTGAGATAGAGTTATCCCATCCTTAGCAACCAAGGGATCACATACGTAGTAAAGGAGGGATTTCGAAATACAACAGCTCGTATGTGCTATCGGTAACCTCTGTGTTCGTCCGTTTACAAACAGGCATTTATGTCCAAACATACGGAAGAATATAGCGCCCTTTTTGGGCCCAAAATGGAAAAAAAGTTTGTTTTTTACGGAAAATTCTACATATCGTTTCCTCATTTTTTGCAGAAAACTAAACATCAACATGCTGATAATAACATGTTAAATATTATATATGCAAAGCAAGAAATCACAATTTGAATACATTTTGAAGAGGAGATAAAAATGTGATGGATTTTAAGAAAGAACATGCTTTTTTTGTACATTCAGCGAAATTTTCTGAAGGTCAATAATACAACTTCCTATTGGAGTTCATTCGCAATTATGTGCTATAACATCTTCAAACAGTATCAAATAAATTGCCCTAAAATACTTATAAGGAGTTTTGTGCATCGATGATTTTCTGTGATCTGGCTGAGAAGTTAGCCCTTTGATCTGAACTGATTTCAACGTCAAGATCTTTCCCTACGAGATGATGTGAACAATTACGTGAGGACGAAGACATCACAACTTGTGATTAAAAAGAGTTGGTGTTTTGCGGTCCTGGACAGTATGGTCGAATTTTGATTGAAACTATTCATACATAGTATGCATTTTGCATGAGAAGACTGGCCAGAAAATATATCCTCTATGGATGTGGGATGTGGGATGTTTCGCCACGTATCATTTTCAACACTTTTAAGTTGAGAAAAATCTACACGAACACATCGTTTCTTCTTTATTTTTCCTTTAATATATCATTAATCATTAAATAACATATCTTATATAAACTTTTTTTTGGGTGGAGGGGATGTCTGATTTTTATGATGTTGTAAGTATAATGTTCGATAAAGACATTCACATATATATCAAGCGATATTAGATTCGGTTTAAATGTAACGCGTACTCTTCTAGAGTTAGATAATATATCAAGTTGAGAGTATTATACAAATGTAAAAATTCAAGACCTATTTTGTTAAAGCAGATATAAGCTTGCGGGTATTTGTATTCTGATCATGTACCGAGTTTTTAGACATAGCATTTAGATAATTGCTATCCATGCAAAAACACGGAGAATTGATGATAGAAGTGTAAAAGTTATTTTGTGAAGTTAATTGGTGACCTAAATTGGCCTAAGGCCATCTCACAATTGTCTTACTGAACATATTATTGCTACATAGTTTTGTCAAGACATAAAAGTACAAAAAAGACATTTTAGGATCATTGTCCCAGGTAGCTTCTTCTATATCTTTGGATAGTGAATTTCAATGGAGTAACATCCATTAGTACCATTTTGTTTTAGCACCTTATGTTTGTGTATCAACAGAAGTTAAACGATTTCGTTCAGTCCCACCTCTGACATAGTTTAGTACTGATGTTAACGTGGATTGATCTTGTTATTAACCCGAAGCATTGAAAATATATGCTAACTGGATGTCATTGTTCAAACCTGCCTCTATACTAGGATACTGCTCAACCAATGATAACCACATGTTTGGAGACATTGGTATTGCATAAAGTAAAAGGACACATTTTTTAATACTTCAATTAAGTTATATTTCTCTTTTCAGATGGATTTTCAATCCTCATTTTCTTCTTAATTGTGAATATGTTTATTAGCATCACATGACATTGCTTAAAACTCCTGGCTGATTTTGAATTTGTAAAATTTCTTTCCAACCAGCTGCAATACTGTGTTTTTAGAAACGCCATTAAAAGCACAGGTACTTGGCACGAACTCATATATATAAATCTATGTATTATAGTCATTATAAAACATATATATAGACTGTAGGTTTGGAATTCGTGCCATGTGGATAAAAGCATGTTTGTCTTCTACCTGGCAAACTATAGTTATAAAGACTTTTCTTCTGCTTTTGCCACGATTAATTTACTGTAGTTTAATAAAGTATGGAGTAGCAAACAGGGTTGTTCTTCCTGAAGAAGCTGGACATAATGGGCAAAACCAGTAAATATACTACCTAATTCAAGATTGGGGACCCGCCTCTAGCCTGTTGAGATTGATCCTTCCTCATTTAAGCTCACCCCTTGTAATCAATCCCCTGCATACCCTCAGGTATCTAAGAGAAAGGCGTAGGACCGATTGATTCACTACCTATATAGGAGCAGTGGCGTTGGCTTTACCTCTGATATATGAAACATTTTATGTTACACAGTAGAACTTATTATAAAGAACTTTTCCTTGATGACACTTTAATACAACCCTTCAGTCTTGATATTGAAGAGGTAATATCCATATATAAGATAGCTAGAGGTTGGTAACAGTGATCAAATGAAAAATTCATTATGTTTTATGATATTCCATTTGTTAGTTATACAGGGGACCAATAACATATATGAAATGCTTATTAACAGGTCTAGACCAGAGGGATAAAAATCTCAGAAATAACTAAGACATTGGAGGCTGTTTTGTATCAAAATGAATGTAATTTATTTTATAAATAAGAAATCACAACTTGCAAAAATATTCAAGCAATACTATAAAACAAACAGCTGAAACGATTTGTGGTGAAATAAAGGCAACACTGCCCGCAGCTGATGCTGACCTCCACTTTGGACATGAGACAGTCACAGCAAGAAAAACCTTGGATTCAATGTTTCAAGCCAAAAGCATTGGTCCACGGGAATGTGAGGCATCAGAAAAGAATACAGCAAATAAAATAACTTCTGTATCATTTTCCAGAAATATTATTATTTCTTACCAACTTAAAATATAATAATTCTGAGTCAGTTGTTGAAAGTCACTGATAACAATTTACATGAAGTCAGCAAATAGCAAGAACGGTAAATTTAGAAATATAATGAATATTCCATTTTCAGTTAAATCCATGCTTGAATGAATCGGAATAGTTGTCATGATTATTTCTGCCACCAAACAATCAACACTTATAGTACTAACTTAAGTGTTGTATGCCTCCCTCTCTCATGGTACTAGTTCCAATGTCTCTGGTAAGATGTTTTAGTCATGAACGCATCCATTAAGATTTAGAGGAATATTTTTCCATTCTCAAGGTAATGTTTTCTTTAATGAGATCTAATGTTGACTTTTTACCAAAATGGTCAGAGTAGATTCCATCAGGTGTCATGAGGTAAGTCACAAGTGTATGATCCACCTGTTAAAAATAATCAAAAGTCATAAGGTATGATCCAGCTGTACAAAAAATACAATCAAAAGACACAAGGGTATGATCCAGCTGTACAAAAAACACAATCAAAAGACACAAGCATATGATCCAGCTGTACAAAAATACAATCAAAAGACACAAGCATATGATCCAGCTGTACAAAAATACAATCAAAAGACACAAGGGTATGATCCAGCTGTACAAAAAATACAATCAAAAGACACAAGCATATGATCCAGCTGTACAAAAATACAATCAAAAGACACAAGGGTATGATCCAGCTGTACAAAAATGAATCAAAAGTCACAAGCGTATGATCCACCTGTTAAAATAATCAAATTTTACCCTTGTGCTAGTGTACCATTAACCTAAAAAGTTTATAATCACTTTTATGGTAAATTTTCAGCTTATAACCATTCTACAGATGGGTTAATTACCAGACATAGTCTACCTGAAGGACACTGTAGTTATCTCCCTTAGAAAATGTCATGAAATAAAGAGGGAATAGTAGAGCCAGTGGAGCTATAAATAGCCTAGTCTGGAACCTATTATACGACCACAGGACTTCACCAAAATAAATGTAACAGAGTTTATATCACCTATAAATATATAATCCTTTTCATTTATTTGATTCTAGTGATTAAAAAAAAATTGGATTATAAATCTATCTTATTTTAGTAAGGGTTCCACAGAAACACCTCATCAGCCACAGTTTTCTGTCTTTAAGTAAAGCAGGAGTATTTGATTGTTATATCCTTCATTTGTGAGAATCACATCATAAATGTGAAAAAAATGGCATATTTTTCTCATGCAAACTAGCCATAATGGTGATGTAACAACCAATACCTGCTCACAAGAGCAGATAACTCTGCTTTACGTAAGGACCAAATTGAGTGATCTTATGAATATATAAATTTGTTCAGACAGATCATTTGAATACTCATGTACCCCTCTACAATTTTCATAATAAATTTTCCTTTTTGTCTGAACTTTATTCATTTAGTAAATATATATAGGGAAAGTTCGATTCGCATGACTAAGTACTTACTAAGTAGTCTCCTGTATTATCAGGCTCTCCATATCTGAAGTAGACACGGAATTTACTATATATATCTTGTAACTCTTCTTTGGTTCCTGTTAGTCCCAAGAGTTCCGGTGTAAATTCTACAACAAAAAATTGTGTATTTTATGAGACAAAAGGCAGGTTAAGGTGCATCTAATACAAATTTTTGTTTGTTTGTTTGCTGGGTTTATCAATCAATAAACAGCATCTTGTGATGTGGTCTCCTTCATGTAGCTGGTGGCTACCACACTGAACAACATATGGAAGGCCCCTAACATGACATCCAGAGCAATTATGGTAATGTGTCTTGTCCAAGTTCACAACACTGACAGCCTAGATAGGCCTGTTTCTCAGCTTCCAGAGAATCACAAACTCTCATAGGTCAGGAACGTCAAAACCAACTGGATCTTCACCTGAGGTAACGCCACTTAACACTCTACCAACTTAAATAACGCAGCCCATATTTCAGACATAAGAGGGCCTATACTTTATACAATGTAATTATTTATCATTACAGTTCTCAAGGGCGGTTTATGTTAACAACACAAAATCTCGACCAGTAAAAGAATTTTCTAGAAGACTCTTTCCCTTATCAAGCATGAAAAAATACTTCTAAGGAAGAAATATAGACCAAACAACTGACTTAAATACACAGTCTACAAATTAAAAACACAGTAAGTGTTAAGCAATGAGAGGTCACAGGATATATAATAATATTTATATGAAAAACATGTCAGATTTCAGAACACACCTTCGCAATATTTCTTCATAATTTCTTTAGTGTCTCGTTCAGGGTCTATTGTTACAAATAATGGCTTGATTTTGGGACCTGCGGGTTTTGAATCTGGAAAAAAAAGAAAAGAAAATTCTAATTATGAAACAGAAAATATGAACATTTATACATCATTATTATTTTCATGACAGTTTGTTGAAGTTTAGATCTTATATATCAAAATTCACTTGAAAACAAGTCCTTTCACCAAGGGAGGTAACCAGAACACTCCCCTCCCCCGACTTTCCCAACATTGCCATTAACACAATCATATTGTGGAGAGTAGTATATGAGCCTACTTTTCATATATCAAGGACAATATATTACATTAGCTGACAAAGTATTACATATCAGAGACAATTAAATATGTGGGCTAAAAAATGTTTGGCATATTAGGGACAATTAATTACGTAAACTGACAAAGTTTTACATATTGTGGACAGCCCTATGTGAGTTGACAAAGTTTTATATATTGATGGCAGCAGGATGTTAACTGACAAATGTTTACATATTGTGGACAGTAGTATGTTAGCTGACAGATTTCATATTGTGGACAGTGGTACATGAGCCGACAAAGTTTTACTGATGTATAAAATCAACTTTCATTATCCTAAATTAAATGTTATCAAAGTTAAGGTCTGGGCATGAAAATTTGAACAAATGGCAATAACTGTAATTATGTGACATTGGTACACGACACACTGTCTTAGTATGATCAATGTTTGCAGCAAGTTTCATTCGATCCTTGTGTAAATGCAAACAAATTAAAGAATTTTGACATTTTACTCTGGAAAAAGCAAAATTTGTAGTTTTGATTATTTCCATGGTACCAAAACAATTATAAACAAGAGGTCCATGGGGTCTGCATCACTTACCCGACTAATTCAGCTATTCAATGTCACTTAACAAAGAATTTCAATATGACAGGTTATTTCTTAAATAATTTCCCTGTTAGGTCCCATGGACAAATAGAAGATTCACTATATATAAAAATTGAAATTTTGATTAGATTGATCTTAAAAGGTTTCAGAGCTCCAGTCTTTAAAAAACGAAAATTTGTAATTTGGCCTTTCTGTTTCCACGGTAACAGAAAAGTATTCAAATGGAAAATGTCACCAAAGCAAAAGCACTACTAGAACACCAGCTTGATAGCTGTACAATGTTACCATAAAAACAAACAATATTTAATTTATAATTTCATGATCTCATCAGTTTGTTAAAAACAATACCCTGATAGGGATGGAACCACACACCCAAGATATTCACCAGAAGTTGTTAAATCTTTTGACTGAGGTATTACAGCCCATTCATCATAACATCATCTACAAGTTACATTGTCAGCAATAAAACTATGAAAAGTGATCATGACGATGAGGCACAACTACAAGATTGGATTAAATATTAGTTGTACGGGAGAGAATGTGTTACATTAACATACAAATTTCACATATATATGTAGCAGGGACATTATTTCGTGTATTTTTAAGTTGTTTCATTAAATATGTATTATTGTATTTTTGGCATTATTTTAATATTATTCTCCAATCGTCTAGAGTATTGTATTGTCGCGTCCGTAACACAGTATCGTGTGTATCATATAGTTATGTATCTGTATTTAGTACCATTTCGTTTCGTCTGTATTGTACCAGTTATTGTAATGTCCAAGTGGTCAGTCTTTGTGGTGTTATGTCATATAGTTCCTGTTGTTTCATTGGTTGTTTTTATTGGGCGATTTGGCGGGATATTTCTTTGTTTAGGCTTTTGTCTTGTCAGACTGAGGCGTTCCTTTGACCAGACAGGACGTGTTCAAGAAGCCTGAACATATATATATATATCTTGAACTAGACCTCTAGTGGATTTGTTGCAGCTCCATGGTCAATTTTAGGACATGGGCTTTGAGCCATCATTCAGGTATATATGTATATCTGTATTTCTGCATATGTATGATTATATTGTAACTTTTAACTAAATATAACTTGTAAAGATAAAAGCATCTTTGCATTGTTACTATATATATTTATTTGATCAATATAAATAGTATCGATATAAAAGTTATAATAATAAATGTAAACGTCTCATTTGTAAATCGTAATAGTATATGATTGATAAATAATGATTTTATTAGTGCTGTGAGAGTTATTTCCCTTTGTGTGTGAAAGTTAAGAAAGTATGGTTAGCTTGAATGTGTAGTTAAGTCCGTTTTATATTATTTGTTACAGAGCTTTTTAAGATGTCCTGATCATGTTGGAAATAAATATCGTACTCAACCCCCGTGACCTTGTAGTCATTTAAAAAACAAGACCATCACGATTACATATATGTACTCTGTTACAAATGAAAGAATCCCTGTAAAACACACATTCAATACAAGTATATGTTTCATAACTCTCGTTTGAAATGGAAATCGGTGTAAGATATTTCACGAAATAGTATCAAACAGATATGTACCAAAGGCAAAATAATGACTGGTAAATACATTGGTAATGTGGCTTCTGATCCAGTATGGATTTATTGCTAGATAAAATATTTCAGCAATTTTCCAGCAATTTATCTACACATGTACAAAGAGTTCCATTTCTTTATACTTACTAAAATGTTTCACTACTGCAGCTATTTTTTCTAATTCGTCCGGACATACATCTGGACAGTGGGTGAAGCCAAAATAAATGAGTAACCAGGTCCCTTTGAATTCTTTGCTTGATCTTTGAATTCCATTATGGTCTGTTAATATCCATGATCCACCAATCTGGGGAGATCCCACATTTTTATAGGCAGCCTTCATCTTCTCTACAAAACAGTATGGGCAAAAATTATGTCTCTTAAGGCTTTAATCCTGCAATAGTGAATTAAAGAAAAGTTTTTTTTTTATATTTTTGTATTCAAAACATATTATGTAAATATCATATAGCGTCATAAATCATATTATCACTGGAATGAAGAAGGAGTAAACAATTTATACCACAGAATTATTCATGACTCATTTAAAATGAGTACAAATATAGAAAGGGTATCATGGCTGATTTAGGTAAAATGAAAACAATGGCAATATTCTGTGAATATCCCAAAATAGAAAACACTGCTATATGGTTTGAAGATTAATCAAAGTATGTCAAGTTTTAAAAAGAAATTATATACTGACAAAAATGGCAGAATCTCACAAAAATATTGTTTCATGGTTATGCTGTGGTGTAAAAGCCAAGGAAAATTTCAAAGATGATAGTCAGAAATTGAGGGAGGAGACAGTCAAAAAGATTAAAATACTGAAAAAATTGAAGGTTTAAAAACTCTTAAAAAAATGTAAAACCACAATATTGAAAAACATGATTCACTGAAACCAGTTGAATAACTGAGTGAGATTCTCATGCAAGATATAACGAGAGGCCCATGGACCTTAACAATCACCCGAGTTCTTCAGGTCTTTGGACAGTTTTAGACCTTGTTAGACTTTGTCCATCAGTCCCAGCATTGGGGCAGACAGAAAAGAACTGGTATATGCATACTTACAAAGTTTTTATTGTTTCTAAGTTTAAAGGCTTATCAATTAAACAGAAATGATAACACTCTGTTGTTGTAGTTTAGCATATCTGATCCCGGTGACTTTAAATGACCAATGTCATTTTTTTAAACAAACATAATATTCTTTCATCCCAGCATCCTACAAGCTCAATATCAGCACTCTTGGGCCTTTTTGTTATTAAGAAGAAGTAAAAAATGTCAACTGTTTACAATGCATTATGGATGATGCCAGAAAAAAGGCAATTGCTATAGGTCACTTGAGATTTCATCTCAGGTTACTTAAAAAATCAAAAAGAAATAACTCTTTCCAAAATTTTTTGAATTAACTGCCGGTCAAGAAAACAATATCATGTTAGAAAGAAATAAATAAAAAACTGAGAAGAAAGGGGCAGTAACTCTTCCTATTTTGGTCCAATCAAACTACCATTATAGAAAACACTACTACCTGACACTGTTATATACCTACCAAGTTTGTAAGACATGTGTTGAAACTAAAAGATGAAATCACCAGACAAGATGAACATGATGAAAACAACAAGGGACAATAACTCTTTCAAATATGGTATAAAAAACTGCCAATAAAGAAAAAAACAAAACTTCAAGTCATGGTGATAAAAACCTACCAAGTGTGGAAGTGATTGGTTGAAAACTGAGGGAAAAGATCTCAGGACATTAAATGTTTTCAATAGGCAGTTAAAACAATACCATTATATGCTCCATTTTTGAAAAAAGAAATAAAACATTAATAATCGTATTTGTGGAGTTTACTTATAATTCAATACAAGCATAAAAATAGTTTAGATAAAAAATTCTAAATTCACAATTTCAATCATTCACGAATCCCCAAAGAATGTCAAGCTCAAATCTATATTATCTGATAGTGTAAAATGTTGTGAAGGAGACTGGGAAACATTTAATGGAAAACGACTCATGTATAAGGTAAAAATATCCTACACAAAAGATAAGCTTTTCAATTGAAAGGCAAGATTGCCATAACAAAAGACACAAAACCTGTTAAATACATAAGGTAAGAAACCTTAAATTACAGTAAAGAAGGTAGGTAAGTTTCCATTCCCCGTTTACCTCATGGTTAATGAACGGTTTCGGAAATTTGTATCTATTTTATTATATCTAATATTATGATGAGAGTAGACAGCTAACTACATTATCAATCTTTTTCTTTTGTGTTTTTGTTTGGAAGGGGCGGGTGAGGGGGCGGTGGGTGAGTGACAAAGAGGAAGGTGGGCTTATTATTGATCATAGGATGATCGTATGTCAGTTTTACATTTATTCTCTGAGGAATTTCTTGTTGATTTGTTTAAAAGTTTTGTGCTCACCTTTCTTCCGTTCTTGTTCAAAATATTCATATATAGCATACAATCCACAACAACACAGTGTCATCACGCCGAAGGCTTTCCAACTCATTGTTTTCTGCAGAGAGAAATTTAGTCATCATCCAAATAAGTGCAATGTAACAATAATGATTACAAGTCCTTCAAGGCTTTCCAACTCAGTGTTTTCTGCAGAGATAAATTTAGTCATGATCCAAGTAAGTTTTCCCTGTACAAATGCAATGTAACAATAATGATTACAAGTCTTTCAAGGCTTTCCAACTCAGTGTTTTCTGCAGAGATAAATTTAGTCATCATCAAAATAATTCTTCCCTGTACAAATGCAATGTAACAATAATGATTACAAGTCCTTCAAGGCTTTCCAACTCAGTGTTTTCTGCAGAGATAAATTTAGTCATGATCCAAATAAGTGCAATGTAACAATAATGATTACAAAAGCTATGGCCGACTTCATCATCACAAAATGAAAACATCTTGTGATTGTTTGATAATTATGCTAGGTCTTTGCAGGTTGATATTTAATAACAGAATTTCAACAATTAAAATCTAATAAAAACAACTTACACTAAGGCACATGAATGTGTTATTTCAGATTAATTTATTCTAATTCTATTTTTCACTTCCAATACATTTTTAATTAATTTACCTCCTTCTTCTTCTCTTGTTCGAAACATCTCAAGATCATAGTGGAGTTTTTCTGGAGATTCCTCTGAAGCAAGCCAGAATTCTGAGGGTATATTGTTTGTTGCGGTTGTGACGGCTTGTAGCGAATCTACAAAATCAGATCATACCAATATATGATAAGCTTAGAAAGATCTCCGAGGACTGTTTATATATGTAATATATCTGCAGCACACATCGACAGCCTGAGCTATGTTTAAACTTTATATAATAGATGTATACATATTTGAATACATATAATGTATATATCATAGTTAAGAAAGATCAAAAACCTTTAACAATGATTGTAATTCATCTACATCAACTACTGGATTTATTCTAATAATTCTGACATTCTATCCACTTTTTAATATAGGTCTGGAGTGGATGAACTCCACACAGATATGAAAATGTTGATAGAATATCAGAATTATTTGGGCTGTTTGTCATTTCAGAGCATCATCACTTTAACTAAATTTCTATACACATCTATATTAACACTTATCAACATAAACAAGATGTTACTTTATCATATCACATCGGCAATTAAGCTTGTGGGGTAATATCCACAATAAAAATACTTATTGCAATTACACTGGTATATTGAATGTTTGTGGAAATAGTGTCTGAAGACAATTCTCAATATCCTATGCTATTTGTATACAACATACACTCATAATAACTCTATTCTTTCCATATATCAAATTGAGACTTGTTATATCAATTCATTTCAGTCATATTCACAACATACCTAGATCTTTTTGATGTCTCTATAACTTAAAAGTTAATGAGTATGTAACAGAGCTCTTGAGCCGAGCAATATTTTGCGGCTAGTGTTTCACAAGGGTTACATACTCCCCATCTAGGAAATAACTCGTCCTCGAGTGTCCAGGAGTTACAAGCATACTTGTGAAAGTGTAGTGCTAAGTATTATTCCCCGAGTTCATACATGGGCGTCAATGTAACAGAGGTCATTATTCAATTCAATGTTTCTGCTATAAATTCAACCAAAGACCTCTGGCTTATTAGTCTGATGCTCAACTGATCGAGCTAAAGAGAAGTTCACTCTAGCCTAGTGATATTTTGTGGCTAGTGTTTACTTTGAAATATAATTTCTGCCTTCGAGATTACTTCTCAAGGCATGCACGTTCCTGAATAGAGTATGTGTATTGGTCCTGCATTTGACCGACAGTAACTAAGTCATGCATTTGTTAATATATAGCAAAACTTGTCTATATAGTCAGATTTGCCGGTGCTCCATTGTCAGTACCCGATACAGGTAACCTTCTCTGCATTTATATAGTCAGATTTGCCGGTGCTCTTTGGTCAGTGCCATATACAGTCTGGATAAACACTGGAGAGACAGGGTTCATAATTTTCAGTATATAAATCCTATTTCAGAAGCGACACAGTTATCAGCTATTATATTTATGTTTTTACCGTTCATTGCCTATTTTCATGGTTCTAAACCGAGTAAAGTATAAACACTGAAGAAATGTAAGAACAGCTCTCATGCTGATGAAACTTACGCAACCATGAACACTGGACATGTTTCTGCTGCATGAAAGCACACATGGACTCCATAGTTTGCATGCTTTACGCGCTAAAATCCTTTCCATGTTGATATTTTTTTATGTTGTAGCACGTGTCAACAAAACCAAGGTTCTACACTGACACAATTACTTAACAGGTCAAGGAGGCTATGCATTTCGTCCGGGCGCAGCCATCTTTAATCAGGGGACGTCACTCTCAAGTAAGCGACGAATACACTTTAGGTCGGTTGATTATAAGCTAAAAACACAAAGTATTAATGATGTATTTGAAACCATATACCTTACACATTCAAAATAATTCATCTCTTGAAATATGATTCGTCAAGCTAGACACGAGAATTTGACTTGACGACAAGCGTTCTTGTGACCTCCGCCAGTGCATTGGTGATATATCAGTCTCATTGAAAAAATAAAATATATTAACTAAAGTTGCGTTTTCCGTCAAAACACTTGAAATGTACAATTATCAGTAGATCATTACCTATACAAATAGCTTATATTAGTTTATGTTATTGCACTCTTTTAAGTTTCTCACAGATGCATGCTTTTTATACTAATTATCTATGAGTTATAATTTTGTCCCTTTCCTTATCAGAACAAAACATGATGGAACGTGCATTTCAACTGTTTCAAATCTCCCAACAATCATTGACATTTGAAACGAAAACAGAAGTAAAAACGTAACAGAAAATATCTTTAAATCTACATTATACCTTTTTATAAGAAAAATAATCTCATTAAAAAGCAGCAGAATTCTTCACATTAACACGGCCTTGAATTAATAATAATGTAAAAATGTATGCAATATGTAGCTTTATCCTGCCACCGACAAAAAACGGCTAATATTTTAAGACAGTGACCATGTATTTCATTCATCCCGCAAAACTGATTGAAAATCTGACTATTGAAACTTAAACAGTTTTGATGTTCAAATCTGTACATGTGTTCACCAAATGTTGACTTTACACTGAATTTTGCCTTATGAAGGACGCCGAACGGAAATATAGTTTCAAACGTCATCTGATATAACAGCGATTTTATGGATTTTCATAAAGCAACTTGTTCATTGCAATATGTGAAATCACTTATTTCAACAACTATTTGTATTCTAAACGTAATATCTAATTAAATTCAGAGAGTAAATCTGTCGAATTACCGCACGTGCAAAAATACAGCCATTTTCTGTCACTGCCGAATACAGCAAAATATATGTGGCAGGTGTCAGTTGCAGGATAAAACAAGTTACATCACTTACAAATTATATGACTTTTTACTACTTTTCGGGGTAAAAAAAAAAAATCGATTTTTTTTCGCTCTCCGATATCGAATTTATTTATATTCAAGTTACAGTAGATGGCGGCGTTTTAAGATATCCTAGGCGGAAAAATAGCCCTAATCCATCCAGTATATGCTGAAATATCGACATTGAAAAGTTACAAACGATAACTTCTTAATTAATTTGTATCACTAATTACTCTTGTTCCTGATTATTATCAACGAAACATTTTAATTTATATTGTCGTAAATTATGAAGAAATAAGACAAGTAACAATGAAATGTTCATAAAATCATTTTATTGATATCTGAAAAGTGCATTACAACTGAAACCTTCGAAGCATCCTGTTCCTTTTTTTGCAGTGCATACCCCGTCCGACAACTTCTAATAATTGGGGAAATAAACTTTAGCATGTGATATCATGTCAATAATTGACAAGTTAAATATGGCATTATATTTGTGTAGAAAAGAATAACCCTAACCTGGGAATATTTCAAAGAAACGCACTACTCGTGATATCGAATCATGCTTTTCTACAACACAAATGTAATGGCATATTTAACTGGCGGGAAGAAGATGACATTGTTGTCGCACTAGCTGTATGTGATAATGCAGGAACAAAGTCCGTAATTTCACTGCTGTTTATCATTATGGAAGAAACAGATCACACCATTCTTGACCGTTGGCGATGGTATTTATTTCATTATTGTTAGTTATTATTTTTTTTGTAATTGTTTTATTATTAAGATTTTAGGACATATATACATATACATTATTCATACACACCCACTCACACCATCACACATCATCCATACTCAAACATTCACATTACTTTTCTAATTTTTCTTCTTTGCCATCATCATCATCATCATCCTCATCATCATCATCATCACCACCACCATCACCACCACCACCACCACCATCATCATCATCACCATCTTCTTAACCACTACCCCACCACCACCACCACCACCACCATCATCATCATCATCATCATCGTTAGTTATTTTTTTAAAAGTTACAAGACAAGAGCTTTTACTTGGTAAAGCTAGTGTCTTTTGTAACTTTTCAAATATAACTAACTCGAGAGAAATAAATATCATATCCAACGACCACTTGCTGTGTAACCTCTATGTATCCTATTCATTTGATTATATAATAGGCACATCAGTTATGAAACGATAAGAAAATTGTTAATTTCTTGAAATAAAAAGACATTGTCTCTTTACAGAATGTCACCAGGCGTTTTATAAGGGATCACCATCCATTTACCGACCTTTTCAATGTCTCGATGTCCCTCAACAGAAGCCAACAGTTACTACAGCCGCCGGTAGTAGTTATTCAAAGTAAGCAAGGTAATTATAGGTAAAACGTTGGGTAGGTGTAAGAGTTATGCTGAAATATACTGATTTAGTGCTTCACAATCTCGGGTTACAGTTACCATGATGTGTACGAATTTCAGCATAATATGTTACAATGTCAGTTTTATTATTATTATCATTATTATTATCATTATTATTATGACATTCTTAAAGGCCCGTCATCACAAAAAAGGCCACAAGGGCCAATAACCGGTAAAACACACAACGATCCAAAAGGAAAAAACATTAAACATACTAAAAGGTAAAGGACAAATGCTAAAAATCTTAATTGGGTATGTTAACACTAAAAATTAAGATGGTACGTCATAGTATATTATATAGACCAACATCTTTCAGGTAATGTAGAATTTTACAAATCTCATAAGTTTCAAAAGAGGTTTTTAGACATGTAATGCTACTATAAAAACGTTCTCGAGTAGACAGGAGGCCAATGCAGTCAAATAAAAAATGTTTAACGGCGAATGGCTCATCACATCCTATGCTTCGAGGATTATCTTCGCCTTTTAACATATATGAATGTGTAAGGTAAGTATGACCCATCCGAAGACGGGCATGGACAACGTCGGCTGGGTGGTTGTCTCTATAGCCTGGAGACCATTCACCGATAACAGGTTTAACGGAATGCAATTCATTATTGGTATATGTATTCCATTCCTACTGCCACTGAGATGTTAAAAATTGTTTAACAAATGGTTTAAAATCGGTAAAATGAAGTTAAAAACAACAGGTGGTAGCGATAAAGCTTCCTTTGCGGCACGATATTCTTTTTCGTCGCCTGGTATTCCCATGTGCTCAGGAACCCAGCAAAAAGCAACACGAAATTTCAAGGCAAGTTCATATTATAGTATTAAGGTATTACGAATGAAAATCTTTTCGATATTTCTATTGCTAAGACTTTGTAGAACAGAGAGAGAGAGAGAGAGAGAGAGAGTCTGAATGGATAACAGCTTTAATTACTTTGTTTCTCTGAATATATTCAAGGGCGAGGTAGATAGCTCGCGCTTCCGCTGAGGATATTGTGGCGTTGCTCGGTAGCCGGCATGCATACGCTTCATCATTTGTAACCATGACCACGGCACTCTTATCATTATTTTTTGAACCATCAGTATATAGTCGTAGAAATGTTTTATATTTTAACTGCAATTTCGAGGAGGATGAACGAAAGGTGTAACTGTCTGTGTCTGATTTGACCATTTCATGAAGTTAAAAGTCAACTTCAGGTGAATTCAAGAACCAGGGTGGAATTTCTATCATTCCAAATGACTGAATTGGGTCAATATCAATGTTTGTGTTTTGTAAAAGTGTGGAAGTTCGAATACCGAATGTTGGAATGGGTTTTGGTTTGTTTTGAAACAAGGTTTTATATTTTGGATCAAATACAAGTGAAAAAGCAGGATTTGAAATTTGCTGACATATGCAAATGTGGTGTAGAGATATCACTCGGAGTGGAAAGGCTCCAATTAATATTCAAAAATATATATGGTGATAAATAATTTATTTCTTTATTATTTTCAAAATTTTAAAGTTTACACATAATAACACAATGACGATTAGTTGTCTTATAAACTTGAACTGTCTATATAATCGTAGAAAATCGCGGATTATATCAGGCGCGCTTTTATACAGACACATATAGTGGTGTCATCTGGTTCCCGCCGGAAACTTCAAACTCAATCACTGTCAGAATCAGAGTACAGCACCCTTTGTCTGGGGCGTTTATATTGTTAATGATTATTGTGAACCACTGTGAAAAGGACCTGCAAATACTGAAATAAGGGCACCGGTGGGATGGGCAGACACATTTGATTCAGGATTTGGAGTTCTGACGATGACTTCGCTTGCACTAGATGTGCTATTAGCTCTAGTGAAAGGTCTTGTTTGTTTGTTTAAACATATTTTATTGCCAAAATATTGCAAGAGGATTGGGCACAAGTTCCAAGAACTTATAATCGCCCGCTCCTAATTATTAAACACATACATATGTACACGACATCATAAGATGGCAGATAAAATTACAAGATAACATGATAATTTATATTGAGAGAGAGAGAGAGAGAGAGAGAGAGAGAGAGAGAGAGAGAGAGAGAGAGAGAGAGAGCTTCATCTCTTTGAATAGTAATACTACTACTAATAATAATAATAAATAGTTGAAATGATTTGCATACACACACTAACACCACTAGATCTATATACATGTATGTGACTAGTTGCATACAGTACAGTCAGCACAGTGATACACTGTACGCTATTCAATTCCCTCAGCTGTTCAAATGTTCATCACTAAAGTGGCGTTCTGCTTTTGTTTCCTTGCATTCTTAGAATTTCCGTTTCCACCGTGCCGACTGAGACTGTATGCAACACATAATTTAATAACTATTTACGAAGGGATCATACATACAAATTCGCTCTCATACAAAACCATTCCAGCAGACGACACTCTACTCAGACTCACTCTACTAAAACATAAAGTAGCAATATAACAAACATAATGGTGTAATTTAACAGCTTTG